GGCCTCTCCGCCAGCCTTCCGAGAAGCGAAGCTCACAAATCATGGTGGATGCTCTGGATCTTTATGAAAGGGCAGAAAGGGATTTTTCATTCCTGTCCCCCCGGCCTTCCCAAAACATAGCACCCCTGAGCAACAGACTCCTATTTTTGTAGGCTACCACTCTGCTCTTGGTTATATAAATCTATATATTTATATATTGGTTATATAATATATAAAGATATATTTTAATTGTGAGCTATGATTCTTCTGGATTCTGGGCTGGATTCTCAGAAAAGGCTCCCATTATAAACTTGCAGTTTTAGAAGTCTAGTTTCAGTTCTCCTGCAGCAAAATTCCATGAGCCGCCACACTGAAGGAGTTAAAGACCTCAAGTCCCAAAATCCTGTTTCTTATAAATACAGAGATTTGCAGTGGCCATCTTAACATTGGTTTTATTGCTATGTGACATTTTGTAATACACTGTTACCATTCCAGTCTTAATACGTAGACTACAAAAATAAACCATAGATCTAAAAGTACACAGTATTAGTTTAATCCATAATCAATACACTAACAGACTCAAAGTATGCTACATAAACACTTTACAAATAAGAAAAAGTAATTCAAAATTCATGTTTCAAGAAGATTTAACATTAAATTCAAAAGGATACTTCTAACAAACTCAACTACCCACGAAGCTGCTAGTTCACTGACAGATTGTGTGTATTGATACACATATATTAAAAAAAAAAAAGAAATGCTCACTTGTGCTTACTGAGGAGTTACAAACAATATATTCTTCATTTGAAAAATGTGTGCAATACTTCAATGCAAAAAGTATTCATTTTTCTTAATGAACAAGCATCAAAAACTACATACACTATATACAGGGCATGAAAAAGTGAATAAGGCTGCCTAATCTTTTAAATTTGACACATATGCATATTGTACAAATAGGACACACACACAGACACGCATTAGAAATATTGTGGATATTCCCAAGAAAGTCCATATCTACATACTTGCAGAAATGTCCTTGCTACTTATACTTATAGCACTGGACCTTCAAAATAAAGCAGTAGTTATTTCTAAAGTAGTTCCATTCTAGCAGTACAGAATTTCTAGCATGGAGATTCTTATTTTTAAGTAAGAAATAACTACTTAATTGGCCTTCATTTATACACACTTCACAAGAATAAAGTCACCTGTTTTAGCAGAAAAAAAGCAATACTCCTAATAATGCATTTTCTTTAGAAAAACCTCTCAATGGATACATACAGTATATAAAAAAAATCAATTGTCAGCATACAAAAATATAAGTGAGTTCAGTATCTTTTTATATATCAAAACCTAATCATCAAAACTTCAGATATCCTGAGACAGGTATGCACTGTGCATCTAATTTACCAATGCCAGTGTACTGCTGGAGGACAATTAGGAAAGCATTACCTGCATTTCTAAGAAGTGTAAAAATAGCTAAGGCAATGCAGTAGCTTAAGAAACTCTCCTGCTTCCATCATGTTAATCAATAACAGTGCAAAATATGCATAAAATGCTGAAGGACAAATCCACTTAGTAACTGCAAAGTAAATACTAAGCAACAATATTGTAAATATACTACAGTTACTGATTTTACAAATGTAAATGAAAACAAATGAAAGACACTTTCCCGTTCTGAGCATCATGCTTAACTGCAATGTGTACACTCACATTGAAGCAATTGTCTTAAATACATATGCTAAATCCGACAAAGAAGTAGTGAAATAAATCTCCAAGGAAATGCAGAATGATAAACTTATTCGGAAACAATAAACTTGTTTCTGAAAATGTATGAATCAGAGGGATCTAATAAATGAAATGTAATTACCACAAATCCTAATTTGACTGTTTTGGCTAGAAAACAGTAGAAGTTCTGACCAGTATTGTCTGCATTAAAAAATAATAATTAAAAATAAAAACAGATGCACTTGCTTAAACCACTGGGTTTCAGCTATTTTGAAAAACACCAGAAGATTGTAAATTTCTCAGTGGAGATACACTTGATACTGCTTCATCTGAAATCAGAAATATTTACTTGAAAATGGATTCCTAAACACAAATGTGCTCAACAATTAGAAACCAGCACATACACCTTTTTGAATTAGTTTACATTTAAAATCTGCAAGGATACTACTTAACTCGGGGAGCTACACCAAACCAATGCTCATTTCATAGCATAAGGACTATTTAACATCCTTTTACTTATAGGTGATGGTTACAAAGATAGTCCTAACATCCTTACTTCCACTTTAAAAACAAGAAGCTCTCTTCACACATGAACCAACTGTGTTCATGTAAGTGTTACTGGCTCTTAACTCTGCCCTCCCAGCTGTTAAATTTCCTATAACACTCTCTACCGCTGAATTATGGTAGTCAACTTGAATGAAGACCTAGAAATGACATATAGAATGCTTTCCCTAAACTGGTATAATGCATTGTCATTAAAAAAGATTAAAAAAATAAAAATTGCATAATATGTTATAGCAGAAGCAAAGATTTCACAGGCTATGGGTGAAAAAGTTCTTGTAAATCATCATTCTTGGTCATCTGTTCTCCTTGCCTGAAAGCCTAAAAATCTCTGAAAGCACAAACATACTGCGGTAAGAACAGATTTGTTATCCTGCATGTGGCCATTGCAAAAGCAATAAATACATCCTATACATTTACCAAGCAAGATAAAGAGCCTTGGTCACAAATATAGTTAAATTGATGATTTGAGCTCTTCAATGTCCATCTAATTTTGCCAGAATACAGATGTGTTGGAATACACAATATGTTCTGAAAAGAGAGGGTCAAGAAAATCAGTTCTAAAATCTGCACAGTTTCAAGTGAGCAGTGGATTTTGCAGAAATTTTGAAAAAAATCAGGCATCCACTTTCTAAAGAGAGTCAGTCTCCTGATTTATGTCTAATTTCCTTTGAGTACTTTAGAAATCCTTCCTCTACTTCCTCTGAATATATCAGCCTAATTAAGTAAATTATTTGGCAGCACAGGTCCAAACCAGTGCTTCAGATAATGAAGCTCACAGCGCTGAATAAATTCTTCACTATGTCAAGGTTAAAGAGAGCTTGAAGACCAGTCCATTTTGCCTATTAAAAAACAACAAAAAATAGGTGAAAAAAGACTAAGGGTCAGGATTTCTGATGCAGGCTCATGCGAAACAACAGCTGAAAAATTTGGTCCAGTGACTGAAAAATTTGGTCCAGTGACTGAAAAATTTGGTCCAGTGACTGTGGCTCATAACTGTTTCTCATTCAGTATTTAAAAGTGTCTCTTACCCTGTATTTTCAAACACAAAACATAGTACAATTGCCATGCTATAGGAGACACTATGGTGGGATGGGTACATTCCTGCCATTTTTCAGCCTGATTAAAAAAAAAAAGATCAATAGATTAGCTACAATAATGTGTATATGCAACAGATTTGTCCTCTAGGTTAGATTATACAGAATTAGCAGTTTCATTCAGCTTTCTTCCCCTTGTGTAATAAAATAAATTTTTTATATATATATATATATTTAAAAAAAGGATGCAGCCAACCCTTTCCAGCAAGATTTGAGCTCCCACCATTCCACAGGGTTTCTAGAGCTGTCCTTGGCAGGAGAAGGTTACACCTTCTATGTGTTTCTGATTTCTGAACAAGCAATAACGGAAACATTTTTTGGCACTTCTGCCTGAAGCAAGGATTATCCTAACCAATACTGCCTCTCTGAATAAAACACATCCAAAAGTATGAAACACTCTGACTGGAATAGCAACTAAATAAATTGTGACTCATTCTTTTCTTATGTACAAGCATTGGGTCCTCCTAGACAAAAGGGGTAACTTTCTACCGAGCAAAACCTTTTTTAAAGATCAAAAAGATTTGACCTTCATAGTTTCCCATAACTATTAAGGAGCGTAAACTCCAAAGCACAGAGGATAAATCGTGGCTTGTGTTCATTATTCTGTGCTTTTGTCACTGTTTAAGGAAAACATTCTATATTCAAGGCCAGATCACTAATAAATTGATATGACTATATAAATATATACACATCGAAGATAGAATAGGTGCACACATATGTATCTGTAGATATATAAAAATATTTACTTTCTTAACAAAGTTAAAGTCTGTGTACAAACTTAAAAATACTGAAAACTGTAGGAGTCCTAATTCCTCCTTCGGAGAAATGAAAGAAGTCCCTATAAATCCTATGGAAAAAGCACTCTTTGTAAGAGTGCTTCTTAATTCCTATCAATTACTTTGTGAACTAATACATTTGTCAAAAAACATATAAATAATTAGATAATACGCAAAATATTATGCTGTGAGGTTTGATTGCTACAGCATAACTACAGGCTGCTACTGCATAGAAAATAGATTTTATTCAGACAGTACATGTTCATATCTAACAGAATGTGTAGGTGCTACGACTACAACTGGAGCCGTTTCAGAATTTTTCTTTATTTTGTTCTGACATGAAAAGTCATTTGGGGGTATTTTCTCTGAAAATACTTTAGCAGCTAAATACAGATGTATTTTCCTGGGCTCTCTCAACTGTAGAATCTTCAAAATAAATCTGTAACAGTTATGAAGTTACATCTTCACAAGAAAGTACTGAAAAGCTCTTAAAAACTGACAAAATAATGAAAATGATGGGGTAAAACATTAAAACACCAAAACTTGCACAAACATTTCCAGTTAAATGTAACAACACTGTCCCATCCTCATCTTGTAAAGTTTTGCTAGCATACTGTACAAAAATACGCACAACGTTGAACAACTCTGAAATACAGAGACATTACAATGTAAAACATCCATTAGACATCAGAGTCTCAAATTCAATCCAACAATGAAAGAAAATCAGACTTCAGATTTTTCTCTCCTTCAGTATGACAACTGAAGAAGGGTAAAACTGCATCTCAGATGCCATTTTCACATTCCTTCAAAATGAGAATGACAACGGGATACTTTCAACAGGGCTGTGCTTCTATGGACACATATTCATAGAAGCAGTCAGCCTGGAGTCATTACACACAACTCTGAGATGAGTTTTTATCCTTAAACCTCACTTACACGATATCCTTGAAACTTTAATTTCATTGTTATAAAAAGGTGAGAATTTATGATGCTGACAGGATTAAAAAAAAAAAAGGGATTATCAGTGCAAAAGGCCCCATATGAAGTGCCTGCCCCTTATGTAGGCTTTTATCCATTCCAGGAGAAGGATACTCTAGCTCAGAGAGAATGATTTCACTTGGACACAAGAGATCTGTTTTCAAGCTACTGCCTGTGCCTATTTTGTGTAGCTAAACAGGACTGAGCATCTAATGAACATGATTCCAGTGTAAAAATCCCGAGGAAAAATCCTGTTTTCCTAACAAGGCTGGAGTGCACAGATTCCAGGATTCCAGAAATGCTTTTTTTGGAAGTCATATTCCAATGTCAATACAGACTATTTAGGATATTTCTTTCTTTATCCTGAGTAAAGGGCTTTTACTTATCAAAGCCCCAGGCACATACTGCTACAATGCAGTTAGATTTCACAGTCCTGGTGTCCTAAAAGTCTTTATTGGGTTATTTTCTGGAGCAGTTCTCCTCATTCTTCTCCAACGGGTGGTGGTGGCTGGCATAACTTGTATAATCTGATAGAAAAAAAAATAGATCAATCATTATTTTGAGAGCTTGGTCCTTCTTAAAATAGGCTAATTTAGGCAAGACAAACTAAATCCGAGTCTTCTGTCGCACAAGTAATTGCATTGAATTCGGTTTAATAACATTGGTATAAACCCAATCAAATCTTGTTTATAAAAATGACCATTCGTTTGCATTCATAGTGGTATTATCAAGACACACATCTATAAGTAATAATGAAAAGACAGTAAAACAACATTCCTGTTTAATCAAGCTTTTTTGCTTATGTAGTGAAGAACTCTTTCTGAAAGCAGGGAGGTCTATACTAACTCAATAACTGATCTGTTGCTCTGAATTTCTACTAAATCCTTTGGCATGGACTTGGTTTTTAACAAGTGTTTGGAAAGTTCCTCTAATATCAGGAGCATGGGAAATAAAGGGCAATCATTCTGATCTCAGGCTCATTAAAAGAGGCTTCTCTGTTCTCTAGGAATATCCAGCATTTCGCCCAGAACCACACGAGTTTGAAACAGCAAGAGACATGATCTCATTTGGAGATTACGTGTTTTCCTCAGGGAAAGTGTATTACTGAAGCAAAAACAGTGTGCTAAGGAGTTGGGTATGGCAAGGAGAAAAAGCATTTAAAGTCCAAAGTGAAAAGACAATAACACCGCAGACACATTAATACTGAATATCGAGAGTGTATGATACTGAAATACAGAAGGAAAAATAAAAGCACAACCAAACAAAGGAAAAAGCAAAACAGGCTGGGTGGGTCTGACTACAGGCAGGATAGTGACTGCCTCACATTTTGGAGGTGATTGAGATGCTCTGTGTATCTGAGTTTTCTGGGTAGATTTTGCAAACTTGCCAGCAAATCATCACACTGATTTATATCACTGCACTTAAACCAGTTGGGCATTTCAAAATCATACTAGAGCTCGACATGAAAAACAAAAGTCTGGACATGTGACAGGGCTTCCCAAAGAATCCAAGCTCAGTCAGTTGCTGCTGTCTTGGCAAGATGCTCTGCCACTGGATCTACTTGAGGGGCTGACTGTGTCATAGCCCTTGTGAATACTGAAAACCTCTTCATGCCATGATGCTTCATGACAGAAAACATGCTCTGTGACTATTCCACAGCAGGGCAGAGTATCTGCTCTTCTCTTTCAGTGCCCTTATGAGTCAAAATCCATGGGACACTAACAACACACAACTGCAGGGGGTAAATAAGTCCTGACTCTTACTGCGGGCAGTATCATTTCTGGAGGGTCGAAATGCAGAACACCAGCTCTACCAGTGGAGCTTTCAAAAGCACCCTGAGGGGCACTCCTACACTGTCATCTGGTCATCTGACCGTTTAAGGTCAAGTAAGCATTGGTGCCTAAGCCAGTGTATTTGTTAGGACACACACAAGCCAACAGACATAGATTTCATCTCTGTCTTCCAAGGAGAGAACGAGTTTGCCTGGCCTCTATATACCCGGGTATGGCGACAGGAGTAAACCAGGGCTTACTCTGAATTATTTAATTCCGTCAGTGCAATAAATTAACAATATGCAGAGCAGGAAGAAGACAGATAGACTGTCAGAGTCTCATTTAAGTCAATAATGACAGTGGGGTTAATCATCAGTGAGGTTTTAGCAAAATCTTGCTTCAATGGAACAATATACAGGACTGCTGAGCCTGAAGTACCAAGATTTGGGAAATTTTCATGTTAAAAGTTTTTCCAAAACAAAGTTACAGAGAGACCGCATAAGCCCCTAAGGAGTTACAGACTGAAGATAGAAACAGCCTCGTCTGGCTCAATATGTAACAGGTGTTTGAGATGATACAAATCAGCTGAGAAAAGACAGTGAACAGTGGCAACTGCAGAGAACAGATAATTCCTTGAAAGCACATTTAAATGGAGCTGTCTTTAATGGTAAAGGGCATCAAAGAATTGATAACCTGCAGTATCAATTACCCATATACCGAAAGTATCACTGATGCTGACAAGCATTGTGACTTACATGGCTTATTATCTCTGATGGTACACAAAATACTCCAAAGCCCGAGGTCAATGAGATATTCCTGGGACACTGTTACTGCTGCTGACTTGCAAGCACCTTGGATGCGTCTCCGCTTCATTCTATGTTCTAAAGTCATCTGATGATTTTCATTTAGCTCTTTATGGCTAAGTTATGGGATTTTCACCTGGAGAGAAGTGACCTTCTTCTAATTGATGTAATAGATTTCAAATTTTCAAATTTTGCCTGCACAAGAAATGTAATAAATGTCTGCTGGCCAATCACTTGTAACTTTTTCCTTTTTTCCTTTCCTTTTTCCTGTTAGTATTACTTGAACTTCTCTTTTATGACAAAAGCTTTCAATCCAGATACCTACTACCTCATGTAGGGGTGGGAAAAGAACTAGACTTGGTTTCTCACAAACCTTTGGTCATCTGCAGAATTATGTCTCAACAGAGTCCAATGAAGGCCAGAGTCATACTGCTCATACTACAAAAGTTCATGCAGCTTTTCATGCATAAAATGCTATTTTAGGGCTGTGGTTCCAACAGTGCAAGACAGTTGATCATGGGTTGCCTTTAAACTAATTGTTAGTGTGAGAAGTTACACCTGCATCTGCTAGAAAGGATAATGGCTTTACTGGCAGTGGGTTTGCCTATACTCCTTGCTGCAGCTGGCTGAGCTTCTGATAACAGCTTAAAACACAGACTCCTCTTACTAGAGCTGTGAAAGAGAACTGTTCCACAGATGTATTCTGTGGGGATTCCTATTAAAGCATAAGATTCTGCAATGTGAAACCAGAAGGCTATTGACCCATTTGAGTTACCCAGCCAAACGCCCCCTGCCCTAACACCCAACATGAAAGAAGAATAATGAAGATGAGCTTTTATAACAAAGATGAGCTTTCAACAGAGACATTTAATAGTCATCATATCAATGTCTCCTCAAGTACCAATGGAATGTTCTACACTGAAAACTGTGTAAAACACAGAATCCCCTGCATGTGTATGGTACAGAAACCTTCTGAATCCTTTCCCCAGCCTCAGAATCAGCACTTTTGTTGGACGGCATTTCACCTATGCCATAGATTTTTGGTGACGCAGAGTTCATCAACTCTTTTGTTGATAAAGCACTTTTGCAAATGCTGTTTTTCAGGACTGGCCATCCTCCTTGAAACTAGTTTTGAACTTTGTTTAACAGTATGAACAGGCAGCAAGTATTGATATTCCTCCTGGGGTCATTACCTAAGCAAGACATTAGGAGTGTTCTTTTTACTTATTGATACTAATGACCACTGCAAAGTCATTGGGTGCCAGCGCAGCTGATGTCTTGGTCTGTCTTCTTTGGTTTACCTAAGAGTAGGGCATTGCTCTTGTTGGAGTAAACTATCATGTATATTACTGTTTTTTTGTTTGTTGGTTGTTTTTGCTTTTGTTTTTCTAGGCTTAACTAATCACAGTAGACCAAGACAACCTGCACTGCTGCTATGGATCATCTATCCTCTTTGAGGGTTAAAAAAATTCAACTGTATCTACTTATGTGGAATAAGTCCGTAAAAATATGTAAGGCTTGAACTCTGATGGTTAGATTAGACATTAGACACAG